GGGAGGGGAGGGGAGGGGAGGGGAGGGAAGGGAAGGGAAGGGAAGGGAAGGGAAGGGAAGGGAAGGGAAGGGAAGGGAAGGGAAGGGAAGGGAAGGGAAGGGAAGGAAAAAACAGATATAAAGAAGCAGAGACCTTCAAACGCCAGGGTGTATTCTGCTTCTGGAGTGAGACAGCCTGGCCTCATTCACTGGGTGAGCCTGGGAAGTCACTTGAAACCCTCCTGATCCCTTTTTCTATAAAACACAGAGGACATTTTGTATCTATGTCCTAGGATTCCTCTGGGGATTAAATGGGCTATCATGAATAAAGCGCCTGGCACGGGATTAGCCCAAAGGAAGCCCATGAAAAAGCAACAAAAGCTACTACTCTTTCAAAGCTGATGGGGTCCTTGCTATTTCACGCAGTAACTTATGCATAAATCGTTAACCAAGATGAAAATTTAGAAACAGATTATTAGTAACTCCAGAAAAGGAAAAGGATCATATTTTGTGTTCTTCAATGAAGACATGTGCTAATGCTCCAAGTACGCCAATCTCATTACCCGGGACAGAGCTCACCCCTTCCTCGCCCACATCTCCCGAACAGAAGGTTACTGACTAACATCCTGGGTTCCTGGAAGAAGCTTTTGTAGCAACAGTGCAGCGAAAAGCACAAGAACGAAATGTTCCTTGGCCCAATGACATTTGGGCTCATTTTGACAGGAGTACCCGGAGTGAGAATTACAGATCTGATCCACAGAAGACTTTATTTAAAAACATGCGGAAGGCACAGTACCTCTAATCGTTGTATGCGTCCCTTGAAAAACATGAAGAGGGAAGAATTTGGATAAGCAGCTTCTTTTTTGAGAAGAATTTCCTTTGCTTCATCCAGGCCTGCTTTGTTATCACTGCCATCCAAGGCAAAAAACGGACGGACTACAGTATGATACCAGAGCAGAGCCAATCTAAAGAAGAGGGAGAGAAACGTTGAGCAAGACTTTTCTTATAGTGGTTCTACTTTTTAAAAACTCAGTATGTGCTCTTCCAGAACGCTCTTTCCAAAAAGCTTACCATGCAGTCTTTGAAGAAGTAAATTCAGAGTATCTTTCCCCATATTAATTTTATCAATATTTGGAAAACTGACACTTTGGCACAGCATATAAATCAGCACACTCCCATCAGGTGACAGGAGAACAATATGATAAAAGCATTTAGCTTTTCCGAGACTTCCAGATGGCTCTTGAAAGTATGGACTGATGTAAATCTCTGAATTCTGAACTTCACTCATCAATGCACCAATCAGAAACAGTAACTGGTTACCATGAATTTACTGTCCCCTGATAATAAAAGCATTACCTTTTTGCAAAAGGAAAATGCTGTTTTCTCTTGTGTTCACAAAGTAAGAGTGTAAGCCTCAGAATTCAAATTTAAATATGGGAACCACAGACACAAATTATACTAAAATGGGTTAAAATAAGTAAGAGAACCAGAAAAAAGGCTCTTTCTCTGGCCTTTGAGGATGCTCAATTTGAAAAACAAATAATTACTTAAAATTGCCTTACTTCAAACTCATCCTTTCAAGAAAAATACCATGTTAAATAAACTCGGTAACTAAAATAGATTCATTAGGATCTGCTTTAATGAATAGACAAAAATGTTTCACCAACACATCAAATATTATTATGTAAATGCACGCTTCTAGCATGTCTATAAAATTCGTTCTCTTTTGGAGATCCGACTAATTTACATTACCAATTCATTTCTTTCCAGAAAATACTAAGATATAAATAGACAAATTATCACATGTTACAAAACTGTTAAATCAAATTAATAAAATACCACTGTTTATGTAATTTAATGACTTTGGGGAGGCACAGATATTTTTGAAATGAAAATTTAATGATATTTTTAATAGCTACCAACGGATTAAGAGTGAATATCCAAATTCCTCAATCTTGATAGGAGTAGAAACAGAGCTTACTAAAGTTTTTTGTGATAATCAACATTTTTTGGAAAAACTGATAAGTAGTGTAATGTCAAAGGACATCTAGTGTCTGGTAAAATTACTCAAATTGCAAATGGTAGATATTTACCAGACTGAAAAAAAAAAATCACACCGTTTTTAACCGATGGAGGAATGGGAGAGTTATACCAGCTTCTCCACACTCCTGTTTAAATAACTGTCATTTCAGTTTACTCTAACATGACTCAGTTTAGATTAACATGACTCAATTTAGTTGACCAGCACAAAATATCCAAGTCACATATGAAAGACCAATGAACCAACCAGGATCAAAGGAAATTACATAGTATCAAGATTCTCTGTAAGAATAAAAATTTTAAAATCACCACAAAGGCTTATTGAATTCCTATTCCTTAAAAAATTCCGAAAATCAGGATCATGAATCTCAGTGACTGTGGTCAAGGTCACAAAAACTGCTTATAAAATCATTTGAGGTTGAAAAAGGTGATCATTTTACCTGTTTAAAATAATAAAGGACTCATGAGAGTAAGGAATGATGTCCTGCTCTCTAACGTCAGCTCCAAAGTCAGTTTATAAATAGCACCAAAAATGCAGTTCTCAGGGTTGCATTAAAAGACATAATGCATGGCATCACGTCAACCAACCAAGCTATTTACCTGAAGTTTCCTTTAAAGGCTCTGATTGTCGTTTACTTACTTTCAACACTATATTATCTACCAAAGCATTGCAATACAGCTACTCACGTAGCTAAAGGGGCCTTCATGTCCTTACTTTCGCTTGCATACATCAGTGAAGAAAGCCCTTGCAGGCGGTCTCCAGGAAAACCCAGCAGGTTGATGATTTTGAGCAGGTTGGGGGGCACCATGGATATGCAAAGGTGAAAAAGGCCATATCCAAAGCTAACAGCACCTTTCAGTCTGTTTAGAGACTCCTCAGACACCCCTTCAGCCACAATGTGATTATCATTTGCAGCGTCAGAAGTCAAAGGCTCTTCAGTTAGCTTCTTTTGATACAGCTCCTGAAGGGCACTGATGTCCAGATAGCATTTATTGTAAATCTTCCAGGCTTTCCTAAGGATCCACCCACCTTTTATATAGGCTACAGAGAAGGGGAGAAAGCATGAGAAAAGTAAGCATTCAAAATAATTTTCTGTGTTGATAAGGGATATTGAAGAATGGCCTGAAATTCAAGCAAAAATTAAAAAAAAAAAAAACCAAACACACAATAAAAATGACCATCTCCCATTGCACCTTGTTTTCTGCAGAGGACTTAAATTCTTTGTTTCCCTTTACTGCACTGGATGACCACTCGGCAAAAACCACATATCTTTTTTTGTTCACTGTTCTATCAAGCCCCTCATACATGAGCTGGGATGTAGTAGATGATATACGCTACAAGACTAAATGCATGACTACCAGCATGCAAGCACCACGTGAACACCTTTGTTCACGTGCTCCGTGAAACATGAACCTCCGCCGTGTTTTTCTGAACTACCATGGCAACTTCGCTGATAAACCTCTTTTAGAACTCTTACGTCTGTCTACCCTGTGTTTCGTTCCTCCGAAATAGCAAGTTTTAAGTCTAATTCACTGCTAAAACTACACCCCAGCATCAAGCATGGCAACTTGCCAAAAAATAAAACAAGCAAACAAAAAGGATGAATTTATACTTATTGGTGAACAAATGGGCAGTTCATTAAGGTGTAAGTCATCGGTGTTAAATGCAGAAATGCAAACAATCCCCCATTCATCTGTATCTAATGCCTACTGTGTGGCTTCAGCGCACCTTACTTAGGATGGCGTTATTTGGTCTATGAGGATGACACTCATCCCCTGTCCCAGCCTACATCTAGACAGATCCAGTGAAGGAAGGTGGCAAAAAGAAGCTACTTCACACCAGAGGTGAGAAGCTGTTATTTATAAAGCTGCTTCCATGATTTCCCGTCAGACCAATTTTTAACACAGCCCTCATAGTCTCTGAAAGAAATTTCACAGATACGATATGGGACTGACCCACCAGTTCCAGGCTCTACAGGCCCCTCTCACACAAGCCCACAGGTCCTGCCTCACCCTCTCCTCCTGTGAACACTTACACCTTCTGATGGGGAAGGAAAGGGGCAGCTGATTTGTCTGTGCTTATCTGAGTGTATCATCACCATACTTTTGAGGAAAGGTCTTCTATAGGGAATTTTCTGCAGAAAAGAGCTTATACACTCAGCACTGTTACCAATATGGCACCAGTCATCTGACCCCAATGCACCAATGGAAAACAAAATGAGCTGTTCTGGGCTTCCAGGCCCTTTAGACAGCAGAAAAAGAAGTTTGTAAAAAGTTATTTTTAAAATTACAGAAAATACGTAACATAAAATCTGATTTATAAAAGTCTAATCCCTAAGAGTGATCTAAGAACACACGGTATATACAGAAAAGACCTACCACAGCGGGCCTACTGCTAGCCTTTGAAAGGCCTGATTACAAGATTGGCCTTTGGCTGGGGTCTGTGAACTTGGACTTGGGAGGGTTCCCAGCATTCTCAGAACCGATAAGAGTGGCTCACTGTGCCTACCACCCTGCTTGCAGAAGTAGTATGTTTTATGTTGAACACCTGCTTTCCTCCTGGGGCCTGGAATCTGGGTATGTGCAAGACAAGGGTAGATCTACGCATGGTTAGCCCCCAACAAAAAGTGCGGGTGCTGCATCTCCAACAAACTTCTCGACTGAGAACAAAACTCACTGCCCAGAGAATTAAGCATGTCCTATGCAACTCCACTGGGAGAAAATTCTGGGTTGCCTGTGCCTGAGTTTTCCTGGATGTCATCCCACGCATCATTTCCCTTTGGTCGTTTTGCTTTGTATCTTTTGCTGTAACAAATCACAGCCATGAGCATGATTATATACAGAGTCCTGGAAAATCATTGCACGCGACGGTCTTAAGAATCCCCAATCCATGGAATCAAGCTAAAATTTAATCAAGCTAATATTTTACTTAACTATATCAATTTCTTGACAAATGATAACCATATCTCCTATGGGAGATCCTATGGGATCTCCTATGGGACCACAATTCAAAACACAACCATCCCACAAGTTCCAAGTTCTAGATTGTTAATGTTCTGTAGACTAAGTTCACTGAAAAGAATACTTACTGTGAGAGAGGATGAACAAACAAAAGCTTAATTTAAGGGAACTATTTTTATAACTGTATAGTTATAAAAGTAATACACATTTGAATACACATTTAGTTCAATGTAACAAAAAAAAATTTTTTTTTTGAGAGAGAGAGCGTGAGCAGGGAGAGGGGCAAAGGGAGAGAGAGAATCCACGCCCAGCACAAATCCCAGTGCAGGGCTTAATCTCACGTCCCTGAGATCATGACTTGAGTCAAAATCAAGAGTCAGAGGCTTAACCAACTGAGCCACCCAGGCGCTCCAATTTAACAAAAATACTCACTGAGCAAATATTACATTTCAGGCACAGTTCTAGGAGAATCAAAGGGAAGTAAGATACAGATCCCGGATGTAAGAGGCACAGTGACTCTTCCCTTCTAAATGGAAGCACTGTGGGAAAACGAAAGGTTGGAGAAAACCCTGAAACCTGTATGCTAACAAAGCACTCAGGTTGATTCAGTATGCCCACAAACAGGAAGCTCAGTTATGATCCAAAAAGCTCAATGTTGAATAGAAAAACAGAAAAAGAGAAAAGGAACACAAAACCAACTGGGATCTAATAAAGAGGAAAACACCGGCTACAGATTTAAAAAATGAAAAAAAGAAAACTTGCAAAACTCTAAAAATGTTAATTAGCTATTATGTTCCTATCATGTGCCTAGCACTGTGCTTGGCAATTGAGGGATACAAAAGGACCAGAAGACATAATCTCAGCCCTTCAAATGCCCACAATAAAACTGAAAAATAAATGAAAAAAATAAGTGCATAAGACTATATATATATCTTATGTGTTTGTTTATGTGCCCCACTGGGGTCTTATGGAGAAAAATGAAAACAAATCATGTTGGGATGACTGGTGAGTTGTTCTTTATTTCCTTTTTGTCACTAAATTTTTCTATGTAATGAATATGTAAATGAATTAGTGCAGAATAAGTATTGCAGGATTTCAGTAGAAAACTTTACTCCCTCCTCCCCCCCCCACCCAGGCCTAACTGGAAATCTTAAGGAAAAAGTTTAATTCCATTTTCTCCTGCACTTCCAGGCTGCTGAGGCTTCATTCAGGAAGCAGAGCTTCCATCTAGGCAGAGGCAACATTCCAGGAGCGAGGAACACGAGTGTGAGTATGAAGAAGCAGGTGAGCAAGCTGTTCAGAGCCAGAATCCAACAGGAGACACAGAGGCCAAAGGGGACCCAGGGATGGCATGCTCAAGTTATGGGGGCCCCCTGATGTCCACTAAGGACATGCACAGAAGCAGCAGGCCACTTCTAAGATGGGGGTGAGGAGACCTGCAGTGTTAGTAATCCAGATCTCCGGTGAAGAGTCATAGCAGAGAATGGTAAGAATAGAAGCAAATGTCAAAATCCATCAGTGCCAACTGCACAGACTCCATCAACAAAAAATGACAATGGTAAAAACCCTGTTTTTACAAAATAAAAATGTAATTCAACATGTCTTTCTTTTCTTGCCTAAGAGAGGAGTTTAGGTGCCAACGTTTAAAAGCATATGTTAAAATCTGTCGTAACCAGTTTTAACACCTTTAATTTGAGCCGGGTAAGTAGAACCCAAAGTTTCAACTAAGTCAAAGACTGTAATTTGTGGAAGACAAAGTTAGCATGCATGTAGGTAGAGAAACATTTTTTTTTTTTTTTGCTACTTTCTAAGCTTAGAGAAACAGCTTCCCCAGGACTCTCACCCTACTTCCCTGTCCCAAATGCTGTGACCAAAACATCTGAGCACAGCCGGACCCTGCGTATGGAGCGAAGGCTGAGTGAGGAGCCGGCAGAGCTGGACGCGTGCCCCACGGCAGACAGTGCCGCAGTTCCTGCAGGGGGGACCCTCCGCCGCCTTGAAGCTACAGCAATGCAGCTAATGAGCACACATTTTCCCAAAGGGCAGAGAAACTATTCAAGAGCCTCACATCCTGCACAGCCTTCCATATGGCTCCTCTGAAAGGTCAAATATAAATCAGTCAGCCACTGCTGTCTATGCTTTTGGAGACAGCAGAAAACCACAGACCACTTGCCCTCCCTTTTTAGGGCCAACCTAAGTCAGCTGGGAGATGTAGGGGAGAGAGGAAACTTTGTCCCCATTAAGGGAAGTGTGGTATGGGGCGGGGGGGCGGTGTCGGGGGAGGCAGGGAGTGGGAGTCCTTCCCAGGAAAGGGCAAGAATTGTCTAGAAAGTGAAAATACCAAGTCATACTAATTGATGTTGCGATAAATCTTACAGACTTTTCAGTAGGGGATTGTATCTGGTGGGATCTTCTACCATAGCATTCTGTCTGTTCACTTGTCCTAGATGAGGCTGGTTAACCCTATAATGAGAGAACTTTTTTATAACCCACATAAGACTTTGGGAGAAAAATGGGTTTCTTTTCACTTCTAAAAGACTTCTGAAAGACTCACTTTTCCAATCTCAACTATTCTTGGGGCTCAGTGTTGAGCCACTTTTTCCTGAATGGCATCACCCTCCTTCATCCCTTCAATTCACATATTATACACCCACCGTGTGCTAGGGAACAGCACAGGAGGTGCCAAGGACATAGAGGGGAAAATGGACTTCCCCCAGTTCTTTATCACCCTGCTCAGGATCTTCCTTGATCTTCCCTCAGGCAGTTTCCCAACTGTTCATTCCCTGTGCACCCAATCTGTGACTAACTTACACGTCTAGTGAGTAAAGTATCACCCTGAATTAGAACTGATGCACTCCTGTTTCTCCCCTACTAAACCTGCAGTCCCCTCAGGGCAAGAGCGACATCCCACTCACCTCTAGAGCTCCGGCGCCTATCACCCCACAGTGAGGGATGCAAAGTAGGAGCTCAGTAAGTGTGGGTGAAAAAGACAGCAGGTGGACACGTGTTGCTGCCCTCAAGGAGATTACAGTCAAATACCGGCGGCAGACATGTGCATAAACATTTGTATTGCTATGTGATGAATGCTCTGACGAGGCACAGAATACATGGAGAACAGCAAAGAGCAGATGATGGTAGGGTAGCACACACAAGGGCAGGAGGCAAGCTCAGGGCATTCAGGGAAGGGCTAGGAGCTCGGCTTAGCCAGCTGCGGGGCTGGGAAGGCAGGCAGGTTCGCACAGGCCACCTGAGGAAGGAATTCAAACTTCCCCTTGTAGGAGATGTACAACAGCTGAGTGTTTAAAGCACAGGTCTAACAAGCCTTAGGAAGATGGCTCCAACGGACCACAGAGAACGCGGCCTGGAGAAGCAGGGGAGTCAACAGCAGGCTGTGGAACGATGATGCCAGGGGCTAGCGCTGTGGGTTGGCCGGAGAGCGAGTGAGCAATGCAGGGTTGCCCAGCCTCTCGGAGGGCGCGGGCACACAGAACCAGGCTGAGGCGACAGGAAAACGGTGAGAACACTGGGAATTCAGGTATGAAACAAGAAACCCATGGCTCCAGCCCAGGGTTCTGTCGTCACTAACAAGCTGTGTCAACTGTCCAACCTCATCCAACATGCAGCCTCAGCTGCCTCACCTGTGAAAGCCAGCAAGCAAACTCATCTGAAGAACACATATCGAGCCTATGTCATGCCATGAATACACAGGTAAGTACAACATAGGGCCTATCCTCAAGTCTTAAAGGAAGGAAACAAAATGAGGTGGGCAAGCACCATAAAATAGGTTTTAAAAAGAGCTTTTTGTTATGAAAGTAATGAATATCTGTTCATTGGGGAAAAAAGCAAACAAGCAGCCCTGGACAAAAGAGTAAATTAAAAAGATATTTCTAAAGTAGTATATAAAATGAGGAGAGATGATGGGATAATTCATTACAAAGAAGTTCAAATGAGAGCACAGGAGTTCTTTTACAAGTATGAAGCGTTTACAAATTCACAGACCCCTTCCTACCTGGAGCTCAGGTGAGTGTGTGCACCCCCACCCACTTCGGCACCATCCGCTCGGGGTGGGGGAAGGGCACCTATAACAAACATCTCCAAGAAGGCAGCTTTTCCCCAAGAAAATTATCCATCAAGAAAGTTTTCTAAGGGGGGACGCCTGGGTGGCTCAGTTGGTGGTCATGATCCAGGGGTCCTGGGAGTGATCCCCCACCGCCCCCCGGTTGAGCTCCTTGCTCAGTGGGGACCCTGCTTCTCCCTCTCCCCCTCCCCCTGCTTGTGCTCTCTGGCTCTCTCTCTCAAATAAATACATAAAATCTTAAAAAAAAAAAGTCATTTTCTAAGAAATGTATTCTGAGGGCGCCTGGGTGGCTCAGTCATTTAAGGGCCCTTTGGCTCAGGTCATGGTCTCAGGGTTCTGGGATTGAGCCTGCTTCTCCCTCTCCCTCTGCCCCTCAGCTCATGCTCTCTCAAATGAATAAATAAAATCTTAAAAAAAAAAGAAATGGATTCCCACAAAGTAAGTTTTTTAGAGTTTAATAACTTCTAAAAGGCTAATGAAGAGCATTTTTGGTTATGTTTGTTTGAAACAAATAAGGAGATATTCATAAAGCAAATGAACACTGTGTACATTTATGTCTGTCAGAATTTCATTTCAATATCAGTATCTGTTCAGTAAATTATATGGCTTCAGGAAAAACCAAGAGCTCTGTTCAAAATCCATGATAAATAGGATTAAGTAAATGATTAATATCAACCTATTAGGAGAATGGGAAAAAGCTAAGGCAGCAATTTATGAAAGAAATACAGTTTATTAACAAAATATAAAAATAGGTTGACCTCACTAACAACAACAACAACAACAACAAAAAAGGCAAAGCAAAGAACATTGGTTCTTTAACCAAAGGAATTGGTTAAATAAATCATGGCCCATTCATATGAAAAACTACTGTTACTATTTAGTATTTTGAAATTGAATAACAGAGAAAATATGTAAAATACAATCTAAGAGGGCAAAGTTGGATACAAAGCACTATAGATTCCATTTTATAAAAGAGATATGGAGAAACATAGAACATTAGACATTAGCATTAAAGAGTAGTTTCTCCAAGTGGTAAGATAAGACATGACTTGCTTTCTTTTTTACCCTTCTCTATTTTCCAAGTTTTCTATAACAATGTTCAGTAATTCTTAACCAGAATAATAATTTTAGAAATAAACAGCACGAATTGATGACTCTAAGTTTCAGGAGGGCAGGGAGCATTGCCTGTGTTGCTCATGTAACCCAGTGCTTAGCACATCATACATGCTCAGTAATTATTTGTCAAATAGACCCATGAAGGAGCAAATGAAGGATATACTAACTTTTACAATTTTTATATACTTTGACTTACAGAAGAGTTGTAAGATTAACACAAAGAATTCCCAGATGCCCTTTACCTGATTCCCCAAACTTTAAACTACATTGGACTTATCCTCTCTAGACAAGAGATTTTCTCCTAATAGCTAAATTAGCTCCTCTAAAGTCCTTCTTGAGTGTCAGAAAAAAAGGAATACAAGAAACACAGAAAATGCCAGAGCTCCTATCTTGACCCAAGAAGTCTGACAGCTCTGCTGCTTTTAAGATATACATGAATGGAGAGCTTCAAGTGGGAAATCTCACAGATATTTCACACCAGCTATAAGCCCTCAACCATGTAAGTATTAGGCAAGTCCCAAGAGGAGGATTAGAGAGAAAAACATAGAACAGTGGACCCAAAGCAAAAGGTCAACATATTTTAAAAGAAGGATAAATTCTAGTAAGACCAAATCTTGGAGGTCAAAATAAAAGTTAAGTTGCATGTCTGACTTGAGCCAAATAGAAACAAAGCATCCTCAAGGATGCGCTGGAGGGAGGAAGAGACAGTAGAAAGAGAAGGGAGAGAAAAACCAGTGACTGGCAGGCTAGAAAGCGTAGTGTACGTTACAACTCAGCAGCAACAGACCCTGCTTCACTTAAGGTTTGGAAGGAAATGCTTTTGTGGTTGTGAGTTTTAGTTGATTTTCTTTCGGAATTTTCATTTTTTCCAAGTAAATCCTATCTGCCAAAGCAGCAAATTTCTCCTGGCAGTATCAGACCGATACCCACATAAGCTAAAGAACTGGTGTCTGTGTTAGACACAGTCTTCCAGAAGCTGTTAAAGACTCGATTTGAGTCTATAGCTCGCAAGGTATCAAAGTTGCAGAATCCTGGAAAACAACGGTCTTGGGCAAACTAAGAAATTAGTTTATAGCCCTTACTCAAGGTTGTTCAAATGTAGGTCATTCAAGTATTTTAGGAAATATTTGGTACCCATTCAGGCTCTCAATAACAATTTCCTGAAAAAATTAACTTAAACCAGTTATATTTCACTTTAAAGGTTATTCACAACTTGATTCTCACAAAGGAAAAGTATGATCTATCTATCTGGCACTGGTAATTTCTCTAACTATGAAAGAATTATCTGTGAAACACTGACTTCAAGTCTAAAACTACTCTCCTAAACACACATTAGGCACTTGTGGTTCCAATTTCCTAAGTAAAACTCAGTATCATGCCCCAAAGAGGTACCACATATTTTCAAAAACTGAAATACAAGGCACTGTAAAAAAAAAGGGGGGGGGCATTACTTATTGTGCCCACTGAATTTTGAAAGCCATTAAAAGTGATGCTTTGGCATACCTGACAATTCTTGTTTCACAAACGAGAGCACAGCCAGATAAACTTGACAGTCAGCTATGATTATCTGCCTCTGAAGCCGATCAACCATAGAGGGGGCAGATTTTCGGACATCAACCTGTTTGGTGGAAGGAAAGTACACACTGATCAATCACACACAAGAACAAGACTCCGTCCAAACCACCATTACTTTATTGTGCAAAATAATTTCACATAGGAACTGTGAAACAGGGCACTGAAAGCCAAGACCAAATTTATACCATATTCCCATGAGATCTAGCTCTGTTTTGTTAACCATACGATGAAGAACATTGTAACTCAAAGACAAATATCCTAAGCGAGAACAATGAAGCTCATGGGAAACCATGAAAGTCAACAGAAAAATTTAGAGGTTTACCTTTTCTGAAACAGTTTGTTACTTATCCAAAATAAAAACCACTAATGGTAGAAAACATTGCCCAAAATAGATAAACCAAAAAGCCACTTTGCAGCCATCTACCTTCATTCATACAGGATGAACACTGGGGTTCATAACTTCTGTGCCCACAACAGAGATGTGAGGGTCGAAAACTGATTACATTTTACTTAAGGATAAAATAGGTTTGAATGAACCACAAACTGAACTCAATTTAAGCTATACCTCTAAAGTGACCACCTCTATAAAAGAAGCAAAACATAAAATTAAAAAACCCACTTTTTATAAAATGTTGGTCCTTATTGTAAAGAATGTTTGTAAGTGAAAAAAATTTATCCCAAAATAGAATACTGCATTCTTAATACAAAGTGAACTTGAACAAGATAAGCTAAATAGTTTTCATAGGCTTTCACAGTGATGTAAGAAATGATAGGATCTATGGGGCGCCTGGGTGGCTCAGTCGTTAAGCGTCTGCCTTGGGCTCAGGTCATGATCCCAGATCCTGGGATCAAGCTCCGCATCGGGCTCCCTGCTCGGCGGGAAGCCTGCTTCTCCCTCTCCCACTTCCCCTGCTTGTGTTCCCTCTCTTGCTGTGTCTCTCTCTGTCAAATAAATAAATAAAATCTTTAAAAAAAAAAAAGGATCTTTGCAAATATGACAATAGCATATATAGTAGACACAAAAGAATGAACTGTTTTCCTTTTTTTTTACATTGGCATAATCTATTATGGTCACTACTGTTGCAAATGTAGTCCCAGAACTCATTACTTTGCTTAGGCAAATGTCAGTCTACTGATGCTCCTGGTTCTTTGTAATAACATCTACTGTGTCGGGTTGTTGGAAGGGCTAATGAGGTACTGTATGTGAAAATGCTTTTTAAATTGCAAAGACCCATTACCAGTGTTAATTCCTAAATAGGTGGTTAGGCATGGAATTAGATACAGAAGACAAACAAATAAATAACTTATAGTCTAATGAGGGAACACTGACTTCATTACCATGTAATGCAGTAAGTGCTCTGAAGGGTCGAGTGTACAGGGTACTATGGGGACAAGGAGGAAACCTACTCAACACAGCTTTGGGGCTCAGGCAAGAGTCCTTGGAGTAAATGATCTAGGAAGAACTCAAGAAAGTGTAGGAACCAGGTCCAGAGGGAAGAGAATGTTCTAGGCAGAGGAAAAGGAAGTGTCATGTCAGCCACAGTAAGGACTTTGGCAAGGTGTAATGTAATGGCAAGGGTGGGGGTAGGGACACTGAAAATGAAGCCAGCAACCTATTATTTGCATTTTAGAGACTGTATTATGGAGAATGAATTCAAGAACAGTGAGAGTTGTTGCAGGCAAATGGGGATGGTGGCTGACCTAAGGACATGGCAGGAGTGGGGAGAGAAGTGGATGAGTTCAGGAGGTACTTTAGAAAGAGAGGCAACAGGACTTAGTCACTGATCAGATGGAGGGTTTGCAGAAGGAGCCAGCAAGGAAAGCTCTGGCCCTTCTGGAGCATCAGGAGACTGTACTTTTGGCCCATCAGTGACTTCCTCACGGTGGACATCATCAGCGAGAGCAGAGGTGCAGGAACCTGGACATGAACAAGCTGAAGAAAAGATGGGCAGCTTTTAAGGACTACAACCCAAAGACAAGTTTGTCAGCTCGACAGGTAACAAGGGAGACCTCTGGGCACTCCAGAAACATCAGGGGTAGGAGGAGGCCTCCCCAAAGACTAGACTTTCGCACTGGAAGATGAAAGCAAAATCAGGAAAAGTGAATTACAATGTTATTGCGACTTTATGCGTAACCAAAGGCTGGTAAGGAAAAATTAGGTAAATAGCTGAATTCCTCAATAATGCCAAAATGCAACATATCTGAATTACAGATACATGAAAGCCTCATTACAAAAGCTCTTAGCACGTGGCCCATTATGGAAGAAGATAATTTTAAGACAGCAAAAGAATAAATGCACTGAATGGTTTTAATGACAGACAAGCAGGTGGGGGTGGGGTGCCACTGTTTTTAAAAAAATACATTTTACTTAACCAAAAGCCGTAAGAAACATGTAGTGCTTTCAGTCATATCTGAAATATTGAAAACCAAGTAAAGGAGCAATGCCCTACGTCAGTGGCACTCCGTTCACAACCTAAAGACATAGTGCTTACATTTTTCTTAATTTTATTCTTGATGGTTTCAATTACTCCAGCCTCTTCGCTTTCACACAGTTTCTCTGTCGTCTTTAAGTCATCACACGCCAACTGCATTTTTTCTTCCTCAAATGTCATCATGGCGTTCTTCCAAGAAAGAAATAAGGAAAGAAGGAATGAATCCGTGCCTGAAAATTTAGGTGATTTAATACAACAAAACCCCAACTAGGAAAAAAAAAAAAAAACATTCAAATTTTATTTGTTGCAAGTACAAGAATGTTACAGCATACCCTAATCATTTCCAAGAACTATAATCTCAATATGAAATAAGAATATACCTCTATCACACCTCCGTGAAAAAATACAGGGTAGTAAACGTTCTCACAGTTACTGTTCTAGGACCTTTTTAGTTGTTACGGAACACAGTAACCAAAGCCCTGTATAATTTCTGGTTGGTCCACTTCATTCAGTTTTCATAGCAGTGTCTCACTGAAAAGTTCCTTCTCCCTGGCCCCGTCAAGTACTGCACAGAATCGCCAGTAGGTTCACCTTGAAAAGCATCAGTCTTTTCAGGGACAGCAATTCCAAGGGGTTCCCTTATTTGGAACTCATATTACACTGTTCACAGTGAAAAATTCCACTGGCAGCCTGGTGGAGTTTTCCAGGCCACATCTGACTGGGTAGGGGCAATCCTTCTCTGCTGAAAACCTGCTACTCTGACCAGTGGCACGGAGTTTCTGAGGTTATGAATGGGCTGTCAGGGCAGAGACAGGACACCTGGTTCTTGGAAGGCCCTAATGAGCTCTTCGTAGGGAGCTCTCCACCATGCCCTATCCATTCAGCAGGCCCTCCCCTTGGCATTCTAGGCCTCCTTGGTAGGACTCCAACATACTCTCCCCTTGTAGCCAAGCCAGACCACTGCCACCTTTGCCCAAGCCCCCCGCCACACTTGCTTTCCAAGCAGACCCCAGACCTGCCACAGCCTCCCTCCCCACCTTCCTCCTCCACCAGCTAAGCTCTGGCTGGGTCTCCCTCCCTGCCTTTGTAGTGAAGCAGGTACTCATGTTGTGATTCCCACAGAGTACCGTTTTCCTTAAAGTCGGATGCTGTGTTTTCTTGTAAACGGCAAGGCTAAAAATTTGTGTTGTATTCCCCGGCGAGAGGAGGAAATAAGTAGCCCAAATGAAAATCCATGCCACCGGAAGCTGGCCGGGTACTGAGGTTGGGCACGGATAGCTGGCCGGCACAGGATACGCCAGTTTGCAGAGATCTTCCTAGATCTGAAATCATTTAAATGCTTTCTCTATTTTACTTCACTCAGTCTCTACACATACTGATTATAAATATGTACACACACACACACACACACAATTTGCTATACCATTCTATGATAGTTTTTTTTAATTATGTGTTTTAAAGTGGTTTGTGTGATGTTATACATATTTCTAGAAAAAAAGCATCCGATTTTTTACATTGCCAAATTTTCCTTAAACACATAACTGCAACCTATTCCTTCAATTCCTAAATACTAATATTTAAAAATGTAATAGTAACTAATAAATTTTAACTCTGCTAATTTAAACTTTATTCCCAGTCCACATTTATTCAATAATTTTAGAGCAAAACCTTTAGTATCCAAAGTCTGGCCTTATCTCAGTTTTTTTGGAAAGGACTTTGCAATTTTATTTTTATTTAAAAAAATTTTTTGATTGGGAAAAACAGAATTCTCTGGAATTCATTTTATGTTTTAAATTAAGGGAAAGAGGATATCTCATAGGTGTTGGCTATTAGGCAAAACTGTATTACACTTTTAAATGCTAAAAGATCTATATCTATAGGGGCACCTGGGTGGCTCAGTTGGTTAAGTATCCGACTCTTGATTTAGGCTCAGGTCATGATCTCAGGGTCATGAGATCGAGCCCCACATCGGGCTCTGTGTTCAGCAGGTAGTCTACTTGAGATTCTCTCTCTCCTTCTCCCTCTGCCCCGCACCCCCCACCCTGTGCACCCTCTCTCTAAAATAAATAAATCTTAAAAAAAAAAGATCTGTATCTATACAGCTAGTAACTCTAAGACATACTTTATATACTTGTTTCCTTCACACCAATACCTCTCCCCATACTAACTTACCAAAAAACTGACGAAGCTGGCTCCAAAACTCATTAATGGGCTATGATTTCTGTTAAGGAAACAAAATAAAATTATTTTTAATGTATACTTTTATAAACATTTGATATATCAGGATCACTATATATTTCTAATAATTGGACAGACAATAAAGTCTTAAAGCTGATTAAATTACCCTAAGAAAGGGGCATCTGGGTGGCTTAGACGGTTAAGTGTCCGACTCTTGATTTCAGCTCAGGTCACGAACTCAGGGTTGTGAGACTGACCTCCGTATCAGGCTCCATGCTGGGAGTGGAGCCTGCTTGAGATTCTCTCTCCCTCTCTCTCTGCCCCTTCCCTCCTCTCTCTTGGCTTCTCTCAAAAAAAAAAAAAAAAAAAAAAAGAGAGAGAGAAAGAGAAAGAAAAAAGAAATTATCCTAAGAAAAATGTTGGAGGCAAGGAGGTTCACAGGTCTGTCTGCCAAAATAGAACCTGGCTGATTCTTCAAAGCAAGGCACACAAGAAAATCAAATGATAACAGAGACTGCTTTAGTAAACCAACCTGACATCTGCACACATGTGGCCAAAGGAAGATGATTAATATTCATCTTAAAAATGCAAAACATGTTCAAAACTTTGCACACATAAAATATCATTTTTAATATAGATCAAAGGGTTTTACCATGGAGCCAACCTTGAAAGTTCACTAATTCCATCTAAAGAACTTTAAGAATGCCTCCCTACGGCAACACTCTTGGGTCCCCTCCCTCCTCAGGAGCTTTGTACTATCACTTTGCTATTGCTCAATAAACTCTGCTTTGCTGCCCACCTCCCCCCCCAAAAACCTCCTTAGTGTCAGACACTCCACCACTGTAATACAGTCATTGTGAAATTACATATGTAAGCCAAACAGAAACCAAATCAAACTAATACCAATTCAAGGAATACAGGAATATAAACTTTCTACTTCAAATTCACAACAAGCACAAATTCTAAATTTCTGTAAATTTCACTAAAAGAGAAAACAAGTGGTAAATGCCTTCTTAAAGAAAAATAACTTTACTGATTTTTTAATTATGTAAGATAACATATGGTCCTTCTAAAAAAGGACAGAACAATGCATTTAGTCAATCCCCTACAGGAAATTTAGTTTGTGTCCAAAGTGAATGTGTGTTTGGGGGTGGGAGGGGCAAGGAACATGCACATTTGTATGTATTTATGTACATACATGCATATATCCAATGCATATATCAGATGAATATCTTTGTACATATATTCTCTCAGGCTGTCCAAATATATTCTTGGGATAAATTGCTAGAGATTGCGTTACTGAGTCAAACAGTATGTACATCCATTTTCCTCTTGGAGGCAGGGGGTTGGGCAAGGGAGTGAGTGGAGGGAGCGGAAGGTGGGAGGAAGCGGAGGGGCAGTAAGGAAACTGATTTAGTTGGAATATTAACTTTCTGCTACATTTTTCCCCATCTATTTAGTACTTAAATTCTACAATGAATAATAATTTGTTTACCCCCACCTAATAGGATACTAAACCAACAAGAAAAAATGTAGGAAGGTCAACTCATTAGTGACGTATCCCCTACTAGCATTCACATCCATAAACCAAGCTCAAGCAGCATATCTCGAGCCCACTGCCAAGTAAGCTTTCCCCCCACAATGCAGCAGAGCAAGATGGCAATTGTCCCAGCCCACGGCTCTGCATGGACATACCATTACAGGCTCCCAACCTAATTTGGTTTGCCTATCAGTGTCCCTTCTAGAATGTTATTTTCTGCTTCTTATCCCTTATCATGCCTTACATACAACAGGCTTTCAACAAATATGCATCAGTGAAGGAATGAAAGACAGAGCCCTGCCTTTTAGGAACAAACACATTTCAATCAAGTGCTGATGAGTATGGCCTTCCCCTTTCCTTGCTTACATGTTAGCCACTTTGCCGTCTGAAAAATGAAAGGAGTTGAAACTAGGGCCTGGTGTTGCTACATGTGCTTCTTGTTTTGGACTAAAATTGGGTGTCTGGGAGCCAACTATTAATTATTCATGGTATCCTAGCCTGGCCCTCAGTACTTCACATACCATCGTGGGCGAAAAACCAGCCCAGTGGGAACACTCCTACCTCCCTGAGGTACTGTCTCCGCAAACCCCACAGCATCTGGTACATTTGACAGTGTACCCAACACAATAAACTGATCAATAAATATGTACCCTCTCATATCCTGGACAAGACCTGTTGTTTTAAGAACAAGGCTCACTTGACTTTTTAAGCCTACGTTAACTTACCTTACCTTGATCATTTTGGCCCATAGATGTGTTTCTACACAAAACTTATTCAGGGGATTTGGAAATGTTCCCAAAGAGTACAAGTCTCATTACTTTAAAACTGAAGCAAAGGAAGAGGCTCCTAGCTCACCTCAATATGCTCATATTGGGAACCAATAAACAATGACCCAAACTGGAGGGGAGTTGAAGGTATTATATAAAGACTGAGTATAAAAGTAAGCGTTAGAACCAAAACACACAATACCAGAAGATCTATAAGAACAGAGGTGAGAACAAGTGAAATAGGCCATCTGGCAAAAACCTCCCTTATTTAAAAGAAGAGAGGATATAAGTATAAAAATATATACATATTTGCTAATATTGAAAAAAATGGTGGAATAACCTGTAAATAAAAAAAATGGATACCTACAAGGCAAGAGAAGGAATAGGGAAGAAGAAACAAGGGTAGAAACAAAGCTTCTCTGTGGATTAGACATTGGAACCATGTAAATATTGCACATAATACCAAATTTTAATAATGCAACCCCTAAAAAGTAAAATTAATGCAAATCCAGTTGGCAAAATAACCACACAATTATTCCAAGTGATGTTAGAACACAATAATCTAACAGTACATTATTATGAAATACCCTTAAAAACAGATCCCAGAAGATGGCAAAAAGAATTTGTTTTCCATAATCATATTCTCACCAGTCAACTTGGTATTGTCATTCTAAGGCTGCTGGGGATGTAATTTGTGATAAAGCAACATGTACGTATGATGGTGTCTGTTGGGACTCAGGACTGTGTGAATAGGAAAAAGAATGAAGTTTATTAAAAATCTTATAGCCTAGAATAGGAACTTATCTTTAAAAAATACATATTTTCTGTCTACTGAAAAAGCCTAGAAATAACACCGCCAGTAGCCCTGAGAATGCCTAACACCTTCTCTAAATACATTAGGTAAAAGGGACCGTGGCTCCTTGAAGAAATGACTGATTCCAGGTCAGGGATAAGAAATGTTCGAGAAGAGCCTGGAATATCTCGTTATAGTAGAAAGCAAGGAAACTTAAAAGTTATATTAGTGTCTTGAAGAGGTTCCCACTATGCAAGTATGGAACAATTTAATCCCTAATGAAGCAATGGATTGAAACATCAAATATGGTTAAACTGTAAGTTCATAATGGTACTTTTAATTTAAAAACAAAACAAACCCTCTCTGGTTGCCTATGGAAGATCCTAAGGAACGAATTCATTATTTTGGAAAAGGATTTAAAAAAAAGAGAAGGAATAAGCATTTACCCTTTCTCTAGGGACTCAGTAATGAATTAGCTGGGTGGGAGGGCAGTCTTTTTACAAAAATATCCTGGGATAATAAATGAAAAGCAGAAGATAGAATCAGTGTTTCATTTTGCAGCTCCTAATCAAGTAATGGATATGGGCAATGACCACAGAGACAAGGGAACATATTAACCACCCCCACACTGATATGATCAACAATATCCAAGCTGTGAAAAACTCTACAGGACAAAAACCCTAGTTTCTTCAATGACAATAAAAAAGTGTATGGGGGGGGGACTGAAAGGGAATCTCCAAAATAAAAGGTACAAAATACAACAGACACTTAAAGACACAGACACATCAAACAATACACACACACACACACACAAACACATATATACAAACTAGTAACAATTAGAATATGAAACGAAAAATCACAATAGCACCAAATCACTAAGTATCTAAGCATAAATCTAACAAAGATGTGCAATATTGTCACACTGAAAACTCAAAACATTACCAAAAAAAATAAATAAATAAAGACCTAACTCAGGGTTTCTTAACATTTTGGGTCAGATAATTTTTTCTTGTGGAGGCTGTCCTAGGATTTGTAGGATGTTGGGCAGCATCCCTATCCTCTATCTACAAGTTGCCAGTAGCACACAACTACTCTCCCACCACAGATGTGACAACAAAAATGTCTCCAGACATTGCCAAATGTCCTCTGGGAGCAAACCGACCCTGCCTGAGGATCACTAATCTCAATACAGAGATATACAATTCTTGTGGGTTGGTATTCAATATTGCTACAATGTTAATTTCTCTTATACTGAACTATAACTTAAATGCAATCCAAAGCAAAATCCCGGGGGGTTGGGGGGTGTGTGTGTACTGAAAAGTTGATTCTAAAATCTACATTGAAAAGAAAAATACTACAATGGCCAAATCAAATTTGAAGAACGATAAAGCTGGAGACCTGATATGAAAACTTAATTAAAACTAAGAATTCCTGTTCACTCATTAGAGATTACAAAAGACAAATCATAGACTAGGAGAAGATAGTTAAATATATTTATCCAACAAAAAGCTCATCCTCAGAATATGTAAAGAATTCCCACGAATAAAAAACGTCAACCCAGTGAAAACGGGCAAAAGTCTTTAACAGGCACTTAACAAAAGAGGGTATCTTAAAAGTCAATAAGCATATTAAAAAGTGTTGAAAAGCAATGGTTATCAGAGAAATACAAATTAAAACCACAATGAGATGCCACTATACTCTTATCAGATTGGCCATACTTGCAAGGACTAACACTACCAAGTGTTAATGAAATGTGGAGCACTTGGTACTCTCACACACTGCTTAGCAGTATCTACTAAAGCTAAACACAGGCCTACCCTGTGATCCAGTAACTTCACTGTTTGATATATATATATATATATATATATATATATATATCGACAGAACTCAATCACACCAGAACTGAATTATTATTATGCCCACAAAAGATATGTATGGCA